TTTAATGATTTAAGTCATCTGGGTGTCCCATCACTAATCAGGGGCATCCCAGTAATTTCTTGTACCTTGTACTATATTCATCTATAAATAAAAGACTGGTCGACTGCCTAGTACAGTTCGACATTCTCTTCAGTTCTGTGGTTCTCTTCTCCTCCTTGCTACTTCGAGTATAGCTCTTCAGATTACAAATAGCACTGCTATGAACTGAAAATGAGAATTCTGAATTGATAATATTCTTTCCTTCATTTGGTAGGGAAAAATATGATCAACCGTAAGAGGAGTTGCGGTGCTATAATGCAGGTGCACCATGTCCTCCATTTAAGCATTTATGACCAGGACCTCCATTCTGGGAGATTAGCATGATAACCAACTTTACAAATTCTCATTGGACAGTTTGAAGATGAAGTACTGGTTAGTGGTCCCATAACAACAAAATTCACATTTATTTACCATAACAAATTAAATATTTATAGAGTTTTTTAAAGGTAATGTAAAATATTGTATTAAGTATCACTATAAACTAATAAAAGTAATAAGAGACGGCGAAGACACGTTGACCCAATCAAATGACTCTTCTTAAACTAGTTGTTGAAAGGCCCACAGTTGTACTTCTCCATACTTGGATACTTGTGTGGGAAAAGGAACTCTAAAAAAAATCTAGATAGTATTTACCATTTTTATAGGCTCTTCTGGGCGTCCTGTAGCACAATCAATTACTGTATGAATACCAACCAGTGTTGCAGGTATAGTCTCTGGTTTGCTCAAGTCTGTCTGCTCAAATGAAGTTAGAAATTGCAAATTTTAGGCCAAATTAAGGGAAGAGAGAGAGAGAGAGAATGAAGAGAATGGTTTATATGGTGACATTCTTAAAGCAACCTGGGATGACAATGTTCACCATCTACAAGTGACCAAAAACTTTTACAGAATAATTGCCTAACCTTATTACACTATGAGCATGAAACAAACCTCTAAAGTCGAAAAAAAATAGGTATCATAAAGACATTCCAATTGCTACCCAATTCTTTTAATCATTAACCGGTGATATTTTATTGATAATAAACAAATAATACAGATCAAATTGCTATACAAATTCAAGAATTTCCGGAATCACACTACATGTTATCATGAAAAAGCATCAACTGCATAGCAGGTGATAAAGTATAGAAAGTAGCCTAATGTTGTTTTAGCATGTGCATAGAAGACCACCCTACTACACCAGTAAAAAGAAACAATCTAATCTGACTTCAGGAATTTTAAAGAGCTAGGGAAAGGCAAAAAAAGGACATAGGTTGAAGCATTGAGAAACGATCTAAGGGTGGATCACAATTTGACAGAGGATGCAGCGCTTGATAAAATGGAATGACAAGAAGATATGTGTATCTGATCTCATACAGTTAGGAGAATGCTTTGTTGAGTTGGGCACTGAGTTGGCAGTTGTCGTTCTCAGTCCACTGAGAGAAATATAGCTCTAATGAAGGTTCCAGATAGCTTTCTGGTAAAGTCTCCTGCTGAGAGTAGCAAGACCTGGGATCAGATCCAGATTTCATCGGGGTTGGAGGGTTTGGGGGAGGACTATCCCCATCGCGTGGCTCATTCCATCCAATACAATTCAGATCACCCACCCACTCTGGTTTTGTAGTTGTGATAGATAAGGTTCTGCAATGTAATTGTAGTCGGGAGCAAATGTAACATGGATACCAAGATTTGAAAATGAGATGGCAAAATAAGGGGTCACAAGGGAAAGCATGTATTGGGGTCAAGTGATATAATTGTTATGATCAAAGTTTCTTTCTCTGCTCTTTTCCTTTTGGTGGGATTATCTAAGGCTAACCTTCCATAGGGTGTTTGGTCTGATCCTGTACTCTTAAATTTTATATATTAATAAAAGTCTATCAGTTACCTACCAAAGAAATAAGGTTCTGTGAAATCAGATGCATGAATGAGAAGGCGTTACCTTATCCAGTCTTATATAGTTTAAATGATTATCCTAACAAATGGATCATTATCAACCCTATATGCATTGGGTCCAGGAAAATGAACAAAAAAAAAATTGAGGATATCCAATTCCAACCTGGCATGATTGTCAGCCAGGTCCAGAAGTATAAGGTCTGGCAGGTTTTAACTTGACACAAGTGTAATCTAGGTAGTCATTGGCTTACAAAGGATAATTCAATTCCATAAAGGGGAAACATATAAAGCCAGTAGACATTCCAAAGATCCACCCTAATAAGAAAACAGTTAAGGTGGGATAAGAAATAGGAGATGATAATAACTTATTTACAAAAGTTATGTTACAGATAACTATAAAGTCATAAATACAAATGATCATAATGTTCCTTTTGAATAAAATAGAAGCATCTGGGTTTAAAACTTACATTGACAACCGTTGCACCCCAATCACGAAGGAAGTCAGCAGGTGCTGGCCAAGGCCTTACGAGGCATCTTACATCATAGCCTTCATCCAGAGCCCTCCTCACCACTTGTCTCCCAAGAGTTCCAGTGGCCCCAACAACTAATATACTTGTCGGCCTAACAGGGGTACCTGGAGCCAGATTGGTTGCCGTTGCTATGGGAGTAGTACATGTTATTGGTAATGGTAAGTAAGATCTGCCTGAGAAATAAGGACGTGTGAAAACCTTCTTATATGGTAAAAAAATATCAGGTGATGAATCAAATGCCGGTGAACCACCAAGCTGGAGGTTCCAAATGAAGAAGGTAAGCATTTTAAACAATACTTAAGAAAATAATAAATGAAAACTAGGAATATAACCATCTCGGTCTTACAATAATATGGAGAGTTTAGCAAAAAATGATAGCAAGTCAAAGTAAAACATGTTAAAGCAGCATTTTTTATATGTTCAAGGAAGTAAAACATGAAATGTTTAAGTGTCTGTTACATATGCATAATAGTTAGAAAGCAATACCCAAAAAGGTTGGAAAACAATAAGAACCCAACCATCACAAACCAGTAACAAAGTTTCATTCAAGAGAATTTTCCCCAAACTCATAAATCATAATTGTGTGAAAATTGTATGCACCCAATCATCACAAACATATAGAGAAGAATTGAAAATATATTTAATTTTCACCTTAAGCTTTTAAGATTCGAAGATTTGCAAGATATCATCAATTACTGTGGTTTTGGCCCTGACCTAGAGGCATATTCCCCACAAAGCACCCATATCTAGTCATATTATGTACCTTGAGCTTCTAGGAATATGAAGTTTGTATTGATAGTTCAATGCTTATGATGAAAGGGCATCTGATATTAATATTGGGTTGTCAATGATAGAATGTTTTGGGAAGGATAAGGATGGGAAAGCAAAGTAGAATTTGGTTGTCAAAAAATTTCAGTAACATTTTAACTTTTTCAGCAATTTACTTTGTTCAATGGATGATTGCTTTATGCAATGGTAAAACCTTGGGCTGACAAGCATGAGAATGCAGCTTCAATCTGAGAGGATCCACCTTGAATAAATGCCAAAGGTTAGGTCATATCCAGTCCACCCCTCCCAAGACCCCAGATAGCTGAGACCGACATTAGGTAATGATCTTTTAGTTTTAGTATTTTACTTTGTTCACAATATTATTTGCAAATGTATCACCAATAATTGTGATTTGGACCCAATGTTACCTAGGGGCATGTTCCCCATAGAGTCTTGACGTCCAACCCATAGAGATGAGAACTTCCAAGAGTGCAGAGTTTGCATCAGTAGGACAGTACATTAGGATTAAAAGAGTAACTATTGAATTTTCTATGATTAAATATGTTGGGAAGAATAAGGAGGGCAAGGGAAGTTTAACTCGGTTGTCACTCGGGCCCAATTGGGATGGGAGATTCATTAAGGGCAGAAGTAATGGCCTTACTTTGAGGTTTGAAACTGGCGAAACAATTGGAGCATGCAGCAATTAGAAGTGGAAAGAGACTCCAAGCTGGTAATAGGGTGGATGCAAACTGGAAACCTGGGAGTGTGGTCTCTTAGACAGCCTCTAAGAGAGATTATTAGCTTAGCAAGGGAGATTGGGGTGCAGTTTAATTGGGTAAGAAGGTCAGCAAATGGAATGGCTGGCACTTTAGCTAAGCAAGGAGTTACTAGGGAGGCTTTGTTTTGGGCCTGTTTGTAAGTTTTTTATTTTCTTTTTTCATCCATTTTGTGGGTGGTAAGCCTGTAATCTTTTCAATTATCTAATGAAAGTTATCGTTTCCTATCAAAAAAAAAAAAAAAAAGGTTGCCTATAGTTAAGTGCAAAGTTGGTTTTTCTTTTCAGACCCCCATACTAATAGCATTCTTTTATTGATAAAGAAATAGATCAGTTGCAATTTTTTGAGAGGTGCCATTTTCTTCTTTTCTCTGGGTAGCATAACTAAAACAACCTTTTTATTGTAAAATAATCATTTAGATTTTAGAGTAGGAAATCACATAATCTATAACAAATGAGACAAATTGTCACACATGTTTGACACTCTAGATATCCAAGTTATACATAAATAGTTTGATGCAACAACGTGATCATAAAGTAATAAATCCTCACCCCAAGGAAATACAATAAAACAAAAAAAAAAAATGTGTGCGTATATTGGCTTATGTAGCATTGGCTCTTGAAAGGGAAAATGTTGTATCATCTAATACTTTAAAGTTTAAATCTCCAAATCTCAATTATTTTTCCTTTTTTGGTATCATGTTAATTCTTTGTTCTTTTTTATCATACTTTTGTAACTTTTGTATTCAAGAGAGATTTCTTCTTTTCATTTCTCTTATAAACCTCAAGTACCATTGGAATTTTAAAAAAAAAATGAAATCCATTAATCATATCCACATTTTGTGTAATATATGTTCAATTATAGCACAAAGATACGTGGTTTGCTTGATCCATATCTTGCAGCACTCATATTTCTGATTTTCAACTACTCAGATTTGCTTCCCAGCTTACAAGGTACCAGGTAAATTAGTAATAGGATTTGTTTTACTATTGAATATCATTTTCCCAGGAAATCATTTAGTTTCCTTCTTTTTACGTGCATCTAAACGCAGCCCTAGTAGCGTTCAGGTTCATTATTGCCCTGAATTTTGGCATAGAAGAGGGAAAAGTCTTGCATAATGTTCGATTTTTCTATAAACCCTCCAGTGCGAAACCATAATAGTTTGACTTTGTGGTTTGTTTTGCTATTTTGTTGATTCCCTGGATAACCAATTGGTCCCCCTTCTTTTGTGGTTGTTATTGTCCTCTCCTTCCTTTGGTGCAATTGCGTAATTGAATCTCGGTATGACAAGCGTAATACGGGTTCAAGTGTGAAGGCTGCCACTCCGTTCAATAAGGTTAAGACCATATCCAGACCACCGGATAGCCAGGACCAACACAATTATAGAATGATAATCGAAACTCGAAGGAGAATAACTTGCCTTGGGAAGGCGAACAGGTGAACGATACCGGCGTGGACAAGACTACACAGGCGATATCTTCTTGTGCTAAATGGTGCCTCCACGACAGTGACACACTGCGGGTAGAATATTTGCTGTGAGAACAGAGATGGTGAGGGGTCGCCACCTGGGTGGAAAAACCGCTGTATCATGACGCCATCATCTCTCTCTCTCTCTCTATGTTTCGTTTTCTGTCAAAAAATATAGTTCTGTTCTACTTTCTAATTTCTATCTATCCATCATCCAGGGAAGGAGGGTGATGAGCAGTCGATCTCAAAACTGCCACGTCGTACCACTGTATGGATCAGCTTTTTGTCCAACTCATACCATATCGACCTTGCACCGAGTAGGGTGTAATCGGACCAGATCATGATCCGATCTAGTCCGAACCTCGATCCTGTATTAACGGATTCGGATATCCTTGTGGGCTTTTTTTGGATCGGATTGGATATTATGAATTTATGATTGAATTCGGAACACTATGTTACTTTTTCGTTATTTATTTTCTATAAAAAAGCATGTATGATTTCTGATTTTTCAGATACCCAACATCTTTAATGATTCTACTAATGATGTTTGTAAAATGCAATAGGACCTACTCTTTGCGGTATAGATCAGACTCGAATATATACCCAATTTGAATCCAATCCAATCCATGTGCATCCCTACAACTCCCCAACGAGTGTGACTTTCCCACCCAATTCAAAGAGGATTTTCTCCCATTTAGAAGAAGATACTCGTTTATTCATTATTGTACCATCTATAGCGGTCATATCAATTCTACTTAGTTATTCAGAAATTCCTTTTGGTTATCGTCTTGTTCTAGCCGATCTTAGTATAGGTGTTTTTTTATGGATCGCCATTTCAAGTATTGCTCCTATTGGACTTCTTATGTCAGGATATGGATCAAATAATAAATATTCCTTTTCAGGTGGTCTATGAGCTGCTGCTCAATCAATTAGTTATGAAATACCATTAATTTTATATGTGTTATCAACATCTCTACGTGTGATTCTTTGGAACATGAACTTTTATCTACTAGTAATTAAGCACATGCGTTGCACGTGAGAAATTTTTCTTCATATTAATTACTTGAATTTTAGTATATCATATTTAAGATAGAAATTGAAAATTAAAAAAAGTAACAATATGATTAAAAATAAACTTAAATATTTATTATTCAATTATGGCATCATGCATTTTTTTTTGAAAAGTTGGACCATTGACCCACCATCTAGATAAGAATTATAGAAATAGCATTACTTTTGGATTAGTTTAAAATTAGGTGAAATCATAGTCGAAGCCAACTGTACATTTAAAATTCGGTTACAAGTTGGTCCATAAACTAACAAAGCTCTAACAAACAGCTCTACATTTCAAGTTATAAAAGCCCTCGCCATGTCATCGGAGGGTTATGTGGCTATTGCCAACATGGGACTCTTAATCCATATTGGACATAATAAAAAGCTTATACTGAAATTGCCCTTTAATGTTGGGTGATTGGAAAATAAAAAAAAAGGGTTTTTAGTCTCTCTCTCTCTCTCAATCTCACTCACACTCTTTCACTCATAGTCATCTTTACCTGCTCAACGACTATCATGGTGTTTGGAAGCGTGGGCACTTTTTGTGACCGATTTTCAAGAAAAAATGCCTATGCTTCTAAGACTCGTTTTTCACAAAAAAGCGCTTCTGCCACGTAGGTAGTGAGCAACACTATGTTGTTTGGTAAGGTGATTTTCATCACCGTTTTTTCATGTATGTGCCGATAGGTAAGCACCACATAGGATACACATCAGTCAACCGTAGGGGAAAACGGTTCACTGATGCAATTTGGCGTTTCATGCATCGGTGGGGTCCCGATTTTCGAGGCATGCCCGATTTTTTAATAATCAGTTGAACCAAACAATGAGATACATGGGCATTTGTTGAAACGCCCATGTGGATCTGACGTGGCACCATTTTTTTGAAAAACGGCCATGGTTCCAAGCATCCCTTATGTGATTTGGAAATAAATAAAAATGGGTTTGGTTTCTGTATTTACGTTCTCTATATCAATTTACACCTATGTGGATCTGACGTGACACCGTTTTTTTGAAAAACGACCATGGTTCCAAACATCCCCTATGTGATTTGAAAATAAATAAAAATGGTTTTTGGTTTCTGTATTTACGTTCTCCATATTAATTTCTCTCACTCTCTCTCTCTACATATTGTTCTCCCTCAATCTCTCTCATTCTCTTTCTCGGTCGATCTCTCCTTCTCCCTTAATTTCTATTGTTTTCCCTTAGTTTCTCTCTCTCACTCTCTCATTTTTTTATTTTCTTATTTTCTTAGACACTTATATGGTATTAATCAGATCATATAAAAGATCATGAGACCAACTTGGTGTGGTTAAAAAATTATCACACCAATTCGATAAAATTCACAAGAAACTCTTGGCTATGAAATTTACACCAATTGAAGAACGATAGAAATTGAGGGAGAAGGATATTTTGACCGAGAGGAAGAGTGAGGGAGAAGAATGAAAAAGATTGAGGGAGAATAATAGAGAGAGAGGATTGAATGCATATAAGTGTCTAAGATTGGCTACAGACCAAAGTAGAGAGAGTGGGAGAGACAGAGAGAGCGGGAGGTCGAGAGATGACTGTGAGAGCGAGAGAGAAGGGAGGGAGATAGAGAAATAGAGAGAGTGGGAGAGAAACTGAAAACCTATTTTCAATATAGGTTTTCTGCTGTGTCCAACATGGAATAAGAGTCCCATGTTGGCAACAGCCACATAAGCCTCTAATGACATGGCAAGGGTTTTTATAATTTGAAATTTAGAGTCGGTTTTCAAAGTTTGGTTGGTTTCTGGACCAACCTACAACCTAATTTTAAATGTCAATCGGCTTTGACTATAATTTTCCCTTTAAATTACATATTTCATTTACATTATATAAAATATTTTTTTTTTACTTATCACACTTAAAATTTTGTTTGTCTATAGTATCATATTACTCAAACCACTAACCCACCATCTAAAAATAAAAATTGTTTGATTTCTAAGTCGACATTAAATTTTGTATTATATTTCCATCATTGATAAAATTATTTCTTATGTATAAAACTTATTTTTGTTCAATATAATGAWTRYAHAATATTARADATGYAYCHAATATTTTATTTTTTATAAATATATAACATTAGATATGTACCCAAAATTTTATTTTCTTTTTTTTTTATTTTTGTGCTTCTTTGTATTTTCTATTATTAAAAAGTTTATTTGACTATGACATCATTTAATTTATAGGTAGATTTTGAAATTGGCTTTCCATTTTCATCATTAATAGAAATACTTATTATATTTCATAGTTATTTATTTTACTTTTTATTATTTAATTATGACACTATTTATTAATCCATTTGACCCAAAATGGTCAAATTTCTTGCCCGCCACCGGGAGGGAAGAAAATGGTTTTGTTTTCAAATTACTTTTTAAAATATTTATTTTTATACTATTAAAATTAATATTGTGGATTTACTTACAAGAATTTAATGATGAGAAAAATATATTTTAAATATAGGATTTAATGAGAGAGAGAATAGGAAAATATTTTTATTTTCAATTGGTTTTAAATTTTACATTCCATTTTCATCATTAATAAGAACATTTCTTATTTAACATACTTATTATTGTTTAATATGTATGTTAAAAATGTTCCCAGTTTTTTTAATTTATCTATTTTTTATTTTTATTATTTAATCATGGCAGCATGGATTAACCCATTTGACCCAAAATGATTTAATTTCTTACCACCACTTAGATGAAAACACTATTTTTGTTAGGTAGATTTTAAAGGTATAAGCTTTTATGTTATTGGAATTATTAATTTATTAAGTATGGATTTAATTAATAGAACTTAATGATTAGAATAAATAAAAATGACTTAAATATATGATTCAATGAACATGAATGCAAGTTAATAACTTAAATGTTGGATTTAATGAGAGAGGATTGAATGCATTGAATATCTTTAAATTACCTCTTTTCAATTCATTTAATATCAATAACCAATTGTCCTATTTGCCCTCATTTTTTTATCGTAAATGTTATCCTTAGAAAATTCCGGAAATATTCTTGGGGCCATTCGTACTTTTTAAAGTAGTATAGATTTCCTTTTATTGTAAGGTCATGTAGGCTGTAAAGGACTGGATTTCTAGACATTTGTATCTAATATGGTCATAAAAAATCCTATAGTTGTGTTTGGTTGTAATGCAAATAAATTTGTATTGATGTAAAATCATAGCAGTGCAAAATGATTTGAGTGTAAATCTTGACGTTTTTGGATTCAAGTAGTAGCGAATGTCCTGGACTTTGATTGGAGGGTATCTATTGTCCAACCACTTGGGTTCCCCGAAATCTCTCAAATGCATTCAACGTATATTGAAGCATCCATTCCTGTTCATTTTTTTTTTTCTTGCAAATATCAACCAAATCATCTCTCCTGTTCACCAGTAGTGATTTTTATCTGGTTTATAGAAGAGGGATGGAGGGTAATATTGGCTTTTAAAAAAATTTCTTACATATGTGTGTCAAATGCGGATTTTGATAGAACATTAAAGGATGTTAACGATAGGGGTAGAGTTAGTGAATTACCAGAAAACTTAGGAATACTTTAAGATAATATATAAACAGTTAGAGTATAGTTAGGATATAATTCGTCTAACTAGCTAAAGCATAAGAGTAGTTTAAAAAATTTGTCTAAATTTTTTATAATGGCATTTTGTAAATAAAACGGTTATTATTTAACTTTACATGAAAAACAAAAAAATACCAACAAATAATTAAATATATTTACCGAAATAAGAGTTTCTCATGAAATATTTGTCTCACTAAATACATTTACCTAAATAAATAACTTTCTAAAAAAGGAATAAGTCCCTAGCTAATAAACTAAAAAATAGGCACAATATCTCTTTAGATTATTAATTTGCTTTCAAAGCCCCGAAGAGATAAAAAAAGAAAAACACAAAACAAAGTTATATCGTTTTTGGAAATCTTATGAAGTCAACTGATGGCAGGGACAAATAGCAAGGGGGGTTTGTGGCAAAACAAGGTTCAGGACTTCAGAGAGTACCAGTTCACTCAAAACACATACCACTCAACTGACGGTTCATGTTTTGCCACGTTGCCCTACCACGTCCAGCCTAAACCACCCTGTCCACATAGTAGGGTCCACTGCCGTGCTCACGTGTATGGCTGAACTTCATGGCATTGATTGGAGGATTCTTAATTGATTGACTGTGGTCTCTTTTCGCTAATCTCCGAGTACTTCCCAAAAGATTTATGGATCCTTCGCCGTCAGTTTGGATCGAAGTGACCGAATTTTAAGCGTTTAACCGGACCTCCACTACCATCCATCCCAACGGTTTCACTCGCTGCTCCTCCTCACAAACACGTTTGAAGTTTTCTTTATCATTCTTTCTTTCTCTTCTAAAACATTTAGTCATTAATAAATAATAATGCCCGGTAGGCATAAGATGAAGAAAGAGAAGATTGAAGAACTGGTTGTTTGAGCTTCCCATTTCACCAGAATTGCAGGGAAGCTCTCAATCCCAGAGGACATAATTACTAGGGTTTCGTCATTCTTTTTTCTTTATCCGCTCAATGTCACTTTCGTAAATAATGGCAGCAAGTTCAAGAGGTTTTGCTGCTCCAGTTGATCTCAAGTTCAGAAGATTTGACGCTTCTGCTCCTCTACTTCACCGCACGTTGGATTTACGGAAGAAGAGAGGAAGGTGCAGAGGCGGTGCTGATGTACATCGATTGACTCAAATCGGTTATTGTACTTCAGACTCCATCGCTCCGATGTGGACTAAGTCCTGTTCGGGTAAAAGCGTCGACAATGCTGATGAATGGCGGTTCAAGCGCTCTCTTCATAGAGTCCGTGTCCAAGCAATGCCTGAATTGCCCTTCGCCTCGCCTCGGTAACTCCCTTATCCTTATTGGCCTCTCTTTCTCTCTCTCTCATACACACACATTCCTTTTTTTCTCCTCCAATCTTCTAGCAACCAGATAGTATCAGTGGTTTAGGTGTCTCACTATCCCTACATTGAATTCACGAAGGCCATTGCAATTTACTAGGTGTTGACAGCGGATTTAGATGTTCTTACACTGAAATCATGTAGGCTACTCTAGTCGACTAGGTAGTGATTCATACAAACACAGAAGATGAGAAGAACTTAATTGAATAAAGAAATCCAGAGTGATATTTTAAATCAATTTTCTATTCTTGAAGTTTCTTGGTTTATAAATATTAGCCTCATCAATGTGAGTAGAAATTCAATTTCTTTTGTGAGTATCGTCAACTTATCTCTCCAAAACCATTGAATGTTTAAATGACAGAACCGAATAAAATGGAAGATGCAGATTTTCTAGATAAGATATTTACCACATTGGAAATTTGGGTTCACAAATTTGTTTGCGGAACTACAAAGTTTCACATTCTTGGACCCTGAGCACAACAAGAAGATTTCTGATTTTCAGTAGCTTAGTTCAACTGCCTAAGTATCAATGATACTGGTCATCATTGGTTTTTGATATTAAAGTTGTCAATTCATATTTAGCAACTCTTCCAGTCTCAGTGGTTTCACTTGCCATGTTCTGTCTGTCATTCTGTCCCTTATGTAATGAGTTTCACTCTCATTGAATTGAGCAACTCTGGAGCACCCTGCCTTGTTTATCACTCATCGCCTTAAAAAATGAAGGACTCCATAACATATTAATTGCTTGAATTTTTTTGAGCCAATGGGTGATAAATACGGTAGGACCCTCATGGTTTACCTCATGTGAGCATGCACATTGTATTATCACTCCTACTGATCTTAGGAATATATACCTCAAATTAGAAAAAATAAATCAAGCATAAAACTGGAAAGCATTCATCATCATCATCCATGTCTTATCCCAACTATATGGGGTTGGTTACATGAGTCCTGTTTTGCCAATCCGTTCTATTTAAAGCCCTATCCATTGTTAAATTATTAGTACTTAAATCATTTCTTGCTACGTCTACCCATGTCCTTTTTGGTCTACCCCTAGCTCTTCTAGCCCCCTCCACTTGGAACGAATCACTTATTCTAACTAGAGCTTTTGGTGGTCTTCTATGCACATGGCCATACCACCATAGTCTACCCTCTCTCATTTTATCACTTATTGGAGATACTCCTAGGTTTCTATGGATGGCTTCATTCCTGATCCTATCCTTTCTAGCTTTTCCACTCATCCATCTTAGCATTCACATTTCTGCCACACTCATAAAACTGGAAAGCATTGATAAATAGAAATGTGCATACCATTACATCTTTACCTCTTCCATTTGTCATTCTTAATAGTTAATACTTGGATTATCCAAGGCACTAACCCTTGTTGCCAAGTAGTCAAGTTATATCCCATGCCACATTCTCACAAGTTTTCATTACTGCAGAAGACATGGTGTTTCCAAACTAGAAGAATTCTATCCCCGGTGTTGCCCAAGAAACTCTGGTCCACAATCTCGTGATACTCCACCTAAAAGAGGTAAGCTACAAGGCTAAAACATCTTTACTCTGAAATGTTCCAACAAGCAGAATCTTAGTGGAACATGTGCATATGCTATGTTTCTTTGCCATAGACACTGGCATCGCTAACGAGAAGGATTGGGGAATTGATTTGCTGAATGAAAACATCAATGAATCGGGCACCAATGAAGATGGAAGTACTTGGCATCGGGAAAGCATAGAGGAATTGGGGGAAAATGGATACAGATGTCGTTGGACTAAAATGTGTGGTCAAAGCTATGATGGTTCCTCACAATGGATAGAGACGGTATGCTCTTGCTTTCTTATGAAATTCTGCTCCACGTATTTATCTTCTTTATTGGTGAAGGACTACTTGGTACTTACAATTAGGGAATCTATGTACTATAATTTGATTTTTCCAGTTCCGCCTAATCATGTGATTAAGTATCTCCAGGTTAACTATATTTAATTTTGGAATTCAGTGATTGTATGTCTTTGTGTATAAATTTCTAGACAGAAAAGCACCAAGAGTTCAGATAAAAAATCACCAGCCTATATATATATTCTAGGTTTAAGTAGGTGCCTTGTATTTTAGGGGCCAGAAAAATCACCGGGAAGTGAAATTGTCTATACAACATTCTCATAGGGGTACTTTTAGTGTTACTTGTGCTGCCTATGTATTCTCATTGGGGATCGACTTGGGGTTCATGAGAGAATTATTCTTTGGAAATAGTAGGAGAAGCTAGAGTTGTAATTCAAGTTGAGAGAATGATGAATTTTTGTAGGGGGTTTATCCATGGGTGTAGCCAACCATTGCCAAACGACATTAAATCCTGTCATGAAACATAAATATACTATGGGGAAGAAAACCTTTTAAAGCAGACACCATGCTTGGTAATTATTGAACATCGTGAAAAAATAGAGGTTAAGAAAAACTGAGAAAGATACCTTTTAGAATTAAGAGTGGGAAATTTGTTATTATTAAACTGATTTTTTTTTTTTTTTTTTAAGTTGTGCAATATCTATTTTATCTCACTCCTTTTGTTTTTCTCAAAATTAGCTAATTAATAATATTATTGTTTTGTTTTTTCTTTTATGTTTTAGAGAAAAAAGCAAAAGATTATGTAAGATGAGATTGTTAATATTTGAAACTTAGCATGAATCATCATCATCATCCAAGCCTTATACAGTTATACTAACTATACTGGGTCAGCTATTGAAACTTAACATGAATGCTTTCAGAATAACCTAATTCTTTGCATCTTCATTCTTTGTAATTTGTTTGACATTGCCAAACAAATTTTAAGGATAAAATAACGTCTTTTGCTAATATACTACTTCATTTTTATAAGCTAACACATTGTTTTTTAACCTCTTTCCACAAATTCAACCATGCAAAAATGACCAAAGCAAATTCAATATCAGCAAAGGCACGAAATGTGAGAGAAGTTTTGGTGCAGAGTTTAATCATTCAAGTGCTGGTAGAAGCAAATTAAATAAATACTATTGGCTTTCTTGACATCTTTAATTGATCCAGAAGATTCGTCTATGTGCAGTGTCCATTATGTGCCAACATTGGCAAATCATATCTTTCTTTGCAGCATAGCCATTACTTCAATCTATGATATAGCATGTTCTTGTTCTCTGAGATAAAATATCTTCTTCATGTTTTGCATAAGCTCAAAAAGTACAAATCCCAGGTGGATGCATTTAATTGGATTTCTTGATCTCCTTGACAGTGGTGGGAGAAGAGTGACTGGACCGGATACAAAGAGCTAGGTACATTTATTGGCTTTCCTCAAATCTATTTGCAGTACTATAAAATCTATTTTATGGTTATCTATCTCTTGCAACTCCTCTTGAAATGTCTATTTTCTTTATAGTCATTTATCTATACTCCATAGTCTCTTCTTGTATTGCATAAGAAATTCCTTCTTGTTCTTTTTTTTTTCTTCCATGAATACCTAAGGAAATTTTATTTCTGTTCTAGAATTTATTTTTCATGTGAAAGCATTAGTTGTGGATCTTTCATGTAACAAATACTTGAACAAATTTGCCATCATGCAAACCTGATTCATGTCAACATATCTTGAAAATGTAAACCTATAAAAAAAAAAGGTCTTTATGTAATGATGGTTCCAGCAATCTGGCATCTTGGGAGGAACTATTTACACAGCTAGATCCTCTAAAAGACTTTTTATGTGGTTGTTTTAGGCTTTTAACAAAGCCACCTGATATATAGGACAACCAATTGCATGCTTAACTGAAATATCTGCTGAATCATTGGCTTTAAATCCAAATTATGGGTTATTTAGTGAGTGGGGCCAAAAAAAAAAAAACAGTAGTCTCTTTTGGAAAACTATCTTCTCAAAGGATTGGATGCTCTCTCTTCTCTCTAGTTCATTTCTGGTCATGTTGAAAATGATATGACCAGTCCTAATTGTAGTAGAGGGAGCTTTGTAGATTGTCCTATCATTATGGCATTACAATAAACATGTACCCTATTCTTTCTTTCCATTTCCTGGTGAATAATAACAGTTAAAATCTTGATGTTTTGTTCAAATAAAAGAAAGACTGAGACAATGGCAGAAGCTGTTAGACTGAAACTTATGGTATTTTTTAAAGTGTTGCAGCAAACATGTGAGGGTCTTATAGAACACCACTTTTAAGTGTTTATGTCTAAGATTATTGATCCATGGGACATCCTTAACTACATGGTACATCAGGAACCTTTCCCATTTCTTTTATTATTTTGGTTGCTCATCTTGTCAATCTTAATTTTTTGATATAGGGGTGGAAAAATCTGGAAAAAATGCTGAAGGGGATTCATGGCGGGAGACATGGAAAGAAGTTCTTTATCAAGATGAATGGAGGTATTTTGAGCACTTGCTTACTTCATCATTATGTTCATGAAGAACTAGTATCATTGCACCTTTGTGTTTACTTTTGTCAATATTATGATTTCTTAAGGCTGCGTTTGGAATCAGTGTAAAACGTCGTCAGTGTAAAAATAATGACATTTTACACTGAACCAGAAAATGACCGTTGCTTTTTTGAAAATAGTGATGGGTGGAAGAGTGAAAGTCTTACATCAATAAAATTGATGTAGTTTTTACATCGATTATCGATGTAAAACTTTAGAGTTGATGAGGTTTTACATCGATTATCAACATAAAACTACACTCCGTCCAAACGCATGCAAAACTGAACCGGAGTGTAGTTTTACGTCGATAATAATTACACCCTCCTTCCAAACGCATACAAAACCAAACCGATGTAAAATTTACATCGCCTCTTGATTTACATCACATCCAAATGCAGCCTAAAATTCATCTTCATTTAAGCCTTGTTCCAAGTCTGGATAAACGAGGAGGTTTGTGCCAAACTCTTATGAAAATATATCCTAATATGTTGCTATTGTATTGTGGTTTGTGTAAATGATCATTGAAATATATATATATATATATATATTCAATGGAATGGAACCTTGTTATGTCGTTTGGAAAACCTGATAGCAATAAAAAATAAACTTGATGCTTAATTGGGCTCATTTGATCTTATTACATAGTATGGTCTTGATTTTGTTGTGGTTGTTTTATTTTTTCATATTTCTGAAACAAAATCCTTACTCCCAATTTGCAGTAACCTGGCAAGGATAGAGAGAAGTGCACAAAAACAAGCAAAATCAGGCACTGAAAATGCTGGATGGTATGAGAAATGGTGAGAAAATATTTCTATGTATTCTAATCATATTTTGTTCTCATTTGTAGCTACAAATTTTGCTTAATTTCTAAACTATCAAGTTTTTCAACATACTTAATCTTCTAGGTGGGAGAAGTATGATGCAAAAGGGTGGACAGAGAAAGGAGCATACAAATATGGTAGGCTCAATGAGCAATCATGGTGGGAGAAGTGGGGGGAGCACTATGATGGAAGAGGATCTGTCATGAAATGGTTTTTTTACAAACTTGTTTCTTACTAATGAACTTAATAGCTGTATGTGTTTTATTTACTGATCTAATAGGGTATACAAGCTATTTGTAAGGGTATATACATGTGCAATCCCAATAATGATATGATGACACATATAGTAGGGAACAATAGTAGCTAATGTCCTAGGGGATCTCAATCCAAGTTATAGTATTTCCATTGATTCATTTCTAACTTAATTATGATTTTTGTAAATCTTCCCCATTTTCATAGCATTATCCTCTAAAAGCTTTCAATATTCATAATCTAGTTAAAAGCTAACAGGCTTGAACATAAGGATGTTTACAACTATTTAAGCAATTAGAGATTTATTACAATGAATAAGCATAATATTGGTGAGCAATGTATTTTAAGTTTTTAATAAATTATAAAAATTGTGGTTGTTAATTCAAAATTGCTTCTTTATTTTGATTTATTTTACTCTTTTTAGTTATTCCAGAATTAGACAAAAGGCATCAATGGTCCACTAATGTCACAATACTTTGACATGATTTGATGCAACAAACATCAATTGCAGAAGTTGTCCATGTAGGACTCACACCAAATTGTATTTGTCTTACAAAACTAAATTATTAACTGTAAGAACAAAAGCCCATCCGTTGTTGTTGATAACCTAATACTGTCAAATGTGTTTCATTGATCTGGGCATTGGATTAATAAGGTTATTGTAGATTGAGATTTCACAAAATGGGTAGTGTATTGGGTTAAAGTAGAATGTATTTTAGCCAATGAGATGCCAAGTTATGCTGATGTGCAATTTGATTCACATTAAAACTCTCAGGACAGATAAATGGGCAGAGACTGAACTAGGAACAAAATGGGGAGACAAGTGGGAAGATAAATTCTTTGCAGGCATAGGTTCACGTCAAGGAGAAACTTGGCATGTGTCACCAACTGGTCATCGTACGTATATTCCTTTTGTGTTCAAATTTTGATGTTTTTCTATTCTAGACTATATATATAATAGAAGTCTCGAAATGCTTACAATACTTATTTATTTTCATATGTCACTAAAGGAGATGATAATTTTAGAATAAGGTCTATTTATTTCCTTTCTTCATATGATACTCTGCTTTCACTTAACAACCAAAGTGGGTCATATTCCATGTCTTTTTCGTTGTTTAACTTGCCAAGCCAATGAACAGATGCTAGTTATCCTTTTTTCTTCACTGGAATACATTACTATCAGATTGTACAAGATGATTTGACATTGTTCAAACTTGCAATCTCCATTTTCATTGTTCTCTCATCATGCATATGAACACTCATTTTGCACAATACTGTTTAACCTGGAATGCTTTTATGGATATGGCCCTTGACAACAGTTTGTTTAGCTCACACTGTATAGTTGGGATAAGGCTTC